TCCTATCCAACACATAAAAATAAACTATCCACCATTATCTTTCAATGGCATGTCATCCACATATGAATCCGTGACCTGACATGAAGAATGAGACTAAACTTATTATCCAGCTCATTCATAATATGCCCCATATCCTGATAATGGTGCAAAAATCTGAAATCATATCCTAAAAATGGTTCCCAATTTAATAAATGATGCAAATATGTATATATATCAAATAATCTAGAATTAAACATGATAAAAATCATACAAATATCCATTGCATTTAATTAAGCAATATACAATGTTAAGTGCTGAAATATATGTATTTCAGCCCCTAATCTTGGATATAATGGAACCTTTATCTATCTTTCTTTTCCCGTTTTAGTCTTAATTAGTTTAATTTTTGATTTCAGGCTCATAAGGCTTAAACGAGCTAAATCTAATGTCTTAAAGCCTGTGGGAAAGTTAAACGGAGTCTTGGCAAGGAGTGGGAGCAAAAGAAGGCTGAAGTGCAGAATTCACTATTTAGCTCAACCGATCGGGCTGTGTTCGGACCCCGACCGATCATATTTAAAACCTGACTGATCGGATTTGTGCCAGAAAGTTGCGAAATTCAGATTTAAAGCCCTTTTTGTAGAAAACTTTAGGTGTGCCTGAAAGGAAAGATCCTTGGGCAGAGTTATAACCATCCTGGAACTAAAATTTGAGCATATGTAGAGGATGAAGCCACATTTGGAGGAAGATATAGATTGTAATTGATGAGAGGCTAAGCTTTAAAGACTTTCTTTCTCTAAAAACCTTCTCTCAACCATTGAAGATCTTGGGTTGTGCTTGGAGATGGGGACTGGAGCTTCAATGTTCATCTTCGTCATCTTCATGCCTAGCTATTTCTTCTCTTAGGGCTTGGATTAAGCCTTAGGCCAAGTATCGTACTATTTGTCTTGGGGATTATTTGTGTAGATTGTTTAACCTTGCGAATTATACTTGGTTGTACTAAGATTAGTTATATATTTCATTATTCCATTAGTCTTCTTATGATCTTTATATTGTCTTATGCATTGATTGTGGTTAATTGATCTCAACATCTTCACTTCTTGTAGTTGTATGGGTGATGGTTAAATAATGGTGCTTAATTGACGTAATTGAAATTGGTTTGACAGTTCATGCTTAGATTTGATGGGTTGTGCTACAACACTAGTGTAGAAGTAGGTAGGTAGACAATTTATGCTCAGATTTGATGAGTTATGCTTATTGATGTAATTTACATATTCTCTTGACCATGATTGTGTGCTTGTAGCCACAATTCTATTATTACACAAGTATTTTCCCCAATTTGATTGCAATGGTACATTTACAAGGCCAAAGGTGGAGTCCATGACCTAAGTATTTATATCTCCATTCCGTTATCCATTTATCATTTCTTTTATTTGCATTTGTTTATATTTTTTTTAGTTTAATTAGGATTTTATACAAACTACCTTTTCTATTAAATCAGTTGTTCCCTAATTTTAAATTGACTCAAGCCATTGGTCCATTTGGACGCTCCCTACTCACTGTGCTACAAAGTAGTAGTGGTTTTATAAATGTAAAATTGACTTTCCAAAGCTTCGAAAACCACATTCATATTGACTTTAGAAAATGACCTTTTACAAAGACCAGTCAGTTTTTGGTGCCGTTGCCGAGGGTTAACGGTTTTATTGGAATTGAACTTAATATTAGTATTCATTTGATTGCTAGTAGGATTCATTTTCTACTATTTTCTTATCATTGTTTCTATGTGCAATTAGGTACTTGATTGAAAGAGATGCAAGCTTTGGGATCATGGCATTGTGTTTTGGACCTTTATGAGCGTATCTTGAACCCTTAAACCATTGTTGCACATTTCTATATGTTACCCAAGTTTAGACTCTAGAGGGGGGGGGGGGGGGGGTGAATAGAGTCTATGCAAACTGTGGTCAATTTTCGATCTTAAAATATTAATTAAAGACAAACTCAATTTCTTTGACAGATAATGAATGATGCAATCTAAATTTTAAGCTTCAAAAGTCAGCATTAATGAAAAGGCATATTAAGACATACATAAAACAATAAGTATAGAGATAGAGATAGAAGTTGCAAACATGTACTCAGTGATTTTTAGCGAGGTTCAGAAACTCCTACTCCTCGGCTCAAGACCCGTCTTGAGACTTCCCAATTCACTATGGCTTCTCCTTATGGGTGGAGAGCAAACCTCTTACAAGAAGCTCTTCCTAGCTTCTAAGTGCTAAGAGAAACACCTTCTCTTAGTCTTCCTTGGGCCACACCATCCCTTACAAGTTTTGCAGTATATTGATGGAATACAAGATAATCTCTCGCTCAGATTTGAAGTACAAGATTTAGCTCACTCTAGAGTATGTATGAATAACTTGAAGCTCAATACTTTTTTTGATGAAAATGAAGTGTGTGTGTATGATAAAAGCTTTATGATTGCAAGACTTTTTTTTCTCAATGTATGCAACAACTTTTAAATGAAGTTCTGAAGTGTTTTTATAGACTTTCAGACATGTCTGATAATGTTATAGCTGTTGGATACACATCCCAAGAATAAAATGCCCGTTTGAATTTTGAAACACGCAGTTTCGGTAGACCGAAGTAAAGCCTCGTTTTGTTTCGGTCGACCGAAAAGATTCAAGCTTGAATATCATACTCTCAGTACTCTTGTTTCGGTAGACCGAAGTAAAGCCTCATTTTGTTTCAGTCGACCGAAATGATTCAAGCTTGAATATCGTACTCTCAGTACTCTAGGTTCGGTCGACCGAAATAACTATTAGTTGGATCTGTATATTCATTTCGGTAGACCGAAATGAAACAATGATTTATTTCGGTAGACCGAAATAACTTGAAGCTTTGATCCTAACTCTTGGTTCATTTTCAGATAAGGATATGCGTAAGTCCTTTGTTCCTTAGTCATGGTGAATGAGATGATATGCATAATGTTGGAGAGTTCGAGCTTCAAGATATTCATATACACTTTAACAAAGCTTCCTAAAAAACTCACCAACCTAGCTAACCCCATTTTGATGTCTTGTGATGACATGACTTTGACTTTTGATTGCTTAGTCCTTTGCTCATTCCTTGGTGTTGCTTCTTTAGTTTTGTCCTTGTATTGTAGTGTTTGTTTTGATGAATGCTTTGCTCTATAATTTCACTCAAAAAGACATTAGTAATCATAGAACATCATTAATGAATTATGATCATCAAAAACCTTTGATTCAAGGTCAACACTATATTTATTTGAGAGATAGTCCTTGTCGAGGCTATCAAAATGCTTTAAATTCTTATTCAAGCATAGGTCTTTGTCGAGGATATTTATATATTTGCATTGCGATATTGAGAAGAAAGGGATCATCGTATGTAGATGTTTTGGTGGTGAAGTTCTTGTTATGATTGTGTTGTTGTGTGTTGTTGTGTATGCATGGTAGAATATCTCTTCATATTCCTCTTAGTCCTCTAGACCAAGAAATTGATTCTTTCCTTCGGAAATTAAGAGGTAGTGAAAGTAGAACTCTTTCTATTCTAAATCATCTGATTAATTCAATGGCACAACACAACCCTCCTCCGGTTTTTCTCGAACCACCTATTGTAGCTCAACCATCTCATGTAGTACCTCTACCTCAAGTAGCTCATCCACTACCTAATCCTCAAATGGTCCTTCGTGATCGTTACATTGCCAATCTTTACAATGCTTTGACATGTTACCGTTTACCACATGTGAGGGCTAACCATTATGAAATCAAGCTCGAGATCATTTTGTGAGTTAAATTATAAAGATCCATATAAACATTTGGATGAATTCCTAGAAGTGTGTTCCACCGTTAAGATCACCGATTTTCTGAAAGAAGCCTTGAGAATGAAGCTTTTCCCTTTTTCTCTTCGAGATAAGGTAAAGTATTGGTTTAATAACTTAGAGGCTAATAACATCACTTCTTGGGCTCAAATGCAACAAGAGTTCCTTAAGAAGTATTACCCCGTAAGTAAGACTATTCAAATGAGAATGGCTATTCGAGGATTTTCTCAAGGTGATGGAGAGCCATTCTATTAAGCTTGGGAAATATTGCATAATTTGCCACGAAAATGTCCACATCATGACCTTCCAAAGTGGCAACATGTCCAATGTTTCTATTAGAGCTTATCCGATACTGATAGGAAAATTATGGATGCTTCATATGGAGGCACATTCTTGCAAAAGCATGAAGATGATCTATGGATTCCTTTTTAGAACATGAGTGAAAACTCCATGCACCATTCTCATCTTCTCGATCTGGTCATGTTTCTATGATAGGGGGAAGAAAACTAAAATTCTATATCATGTAGATAATTCTATTGAGATTGCTACCAAGGTTAAAAGTCTTACTCAAAGGTTTAATCGATTTCGTTCGAGTCAAACTTCGTCAAATCAATCATCCTCTCCTCCCCGAACTCAAAATGAAACATGCATAAATTGTTCGAGCTTAAGTCATAAAACTTCCAATTGTCCTCATGGACAACCAATCCCGAATAAGCCTCAAGAGCAAACTAATGCTTTTTTCACTCGTCCAGTACATAATCCTTATTCCAACACTTACAATATCGGATGGAGAGATCATCCGAATTTCTCATGGAGAAATTAAGGAGTGAGTGCAAACCCTCCTCAAGGAAAGTATGTTTCACCCCATCTTAAAAATTCTCAAGCTCATGCATATCATCCTACACCATATGCTCATCATCAAAATTTCGGTCACTCTTCCAATTCAAATCATCAAACTCCACATCTTCAATTATACTCTCGTACCTCTCAAGTATCCCAAAGGAACTCCGCCTTTGAGGACAACATATTGGCCGCTTTGTGTAATATCGAGGCAAATACACAATTATTTCACTCCCATTCCCAATCCATTGCAAAACTTGAATCCCAAATCGGGCAAATTGAAAATTCTATGAATGCAAAGGAAAAGAGAAAATTGCCTAGTTAACCCGAGCCAAACCCAAAAGCACATTACATGGTGGAATCAAATTATACATCAAGATTTTTCATCCATGAGCAAGTCCAAGCCATAACCACCTTAAGAAGTGGTAGAGTAGTTGACAACAAAGTCAAATTGCCACCAAGTGAAAAACGTGATCTGGTGCAACCACATGGTTGTCCATTACCCATTCTAAAATCCATTCCTACTCCTCTGAAAGAAAATGATCCTGTTAAGAAGGACATTCCATCATCATCATCTCCCTCTCCATTAGAGAAATCATATGAGCCTAGGGTTCCATTTCATCAACCTTTGAAAGATTCTTCTCCTTTTGGGAGACAACAAGGAAAAATTCATGATATGATGGAAGTTTTTAAGCAAGTTAAAATCAACATTCCTCTTCTTGACGCAATTCATCAAATTCCACCCTATGCCAAGTTCATGAAGGATTTGTGTACTCAAAAGAGGAAGTCCAGGAGTCAAGCTCCAAAGAATAACACTCCTCAAAAGTTCAAGGATCCAGGTGCTCCCACTATTTCTTATATCATTAGGAACCATGCAGTTCATAGGGCTCTTTTGGACTTAAGAGCGAGTGTTAATCTTATCCCTTACTCAGTTTATTGTTAATTGTGTTTAAGCGATCTCAAGCCTACATCAGAAGTTCTTCAACTTACCGATAGGTCTAAAAAAACAACCTAGGGGAATTATTGAGGATATCCTCATCAAAGTGGATAAATTTTGCTTCCCGGTTGATTTTGTAGTTCTTGAAACCAAACTGGTGCCCAATCCTATAAATCATATCCCAATTATCCTAGGTCGACCATTCCTTGCCACCGTCAATGCCACAATTAATTATGAATCGGGCATTATGGATATCTCATTTGGCAACATGATGGTCAAGCTTAATGTGTTTAATGCAAGCCAACATCTCATAGATGAAGGTGAGTGTTTCCTAGTCGATGTTTTGGATGATCTTGTGTAAGAATCTATCCCCTCTATTATCTCAAAGGACCCCCTAGAAGTATGTCTTTCTCACTTCAACATGGATGCTTTTGACATTGATAGCTCCATTTATGAAGTGAATGCTATGATGGATACTGTTGCTTTGATGGACTATCCTCCATGAAAAATTCCAAGGGAACCACTCCCTCCACTCTCAAGTACTCTTTCGGTTTCATCTTTAGTCTTTCCACCTACTCTAGAGCTTAAGTCACTCCCATCAAATCTCAAGTATGCCTTTCTTAGCCCAAACGAAACTCTTACAGTCATCGTTGCTTCTAATCTTGAAAATGAGGTTAAATCCAAACATGAAAGAAGTGGTGAAGAAAGAGGTAGTGAAATTATTGGATGTCGGGATTATCTGTCCTATCTCCGATAGTAAATGGGTAAGTCCTCCCAAGTGGTTCCTAAGAAGTCAGGAATTACTGTTGTTGAGAGCTCTAAGGGAGAATTAATTTCAAAACGCACCACTACCTCATGGCATGTCTACATTGATTATAGAAATCTCAACTCTGCCAGTAGGAAAGACCATTTCTCATTGCCCTTCATTGACCAAATCTTAGAGCGATTAGCCAGGCAAAGCTATTGTTGCTTCCTAGATAGCTATTCTGGGTACTGATAAGCGCTGAATATTGTATATTCGAGGCCCTAAACGTGCATATGTTAAGACCTAAAGTGATACTTTTATCCAGTTTTAGATTGATTTTAGTTTATTTGCTTTCGTAGGTACTTTCCCAAAGAAAAGGATAAAATTAGGATTTTGGAGAATTAAAGACTGATATTGAGGCTTACAGAGTTGTTCCTGATCATCTGAAGCAAGTTTGGAGTCAAAATGGTGATTCCAGGAAAGTTCAAGTGCAAAAGCTTGAGCACAAAGTTCACTGAATCAGGAAAAGAAACTAAGGCAAAAGGCTTGAGCACAGATTTTCTTGCTCGAGTAGTGATGAGCATTGACAAGTGCGCATTTAAACCCGTTAAGCTTAAGCATTCTAGTACCTTTATCTATTTTACTTTGCCGTTTTAGACTTATTACGTGTTATTTATATTTTCAGGCACTAATCCCAAAATTGAGCTAACTCAGCCAAATAAGAGCTTAATTGAAGCAATCTTGAGATAAACCAAAGGAGGGAGCAAAGTGGAGAAAGCAAGGAGCAAAAAGGAATCAAAGTTGTGCAGCTGAAAAGTTCGATCGATCCAACTTAAAGTTCGATCGATCGAACATCTATGATCGATCACAGTACTTCTCGATAGATCCAACCTTGGCCTTTGCTGAAATTCCAAGTTCGATCGATCCAACATCAACTTCGATCGATCGAACCCTATTTTGTCCTATTCAAATGATTGATCTTATCCACAGCTGTACGCCTACCAACCACTTTTGTCCTTTTCCCCATAAATATCTTCGAAATATCTCAGCCTTATCCTTATCCGGAGGAGTCAGACCACTTCGATCGATCCAAGATTCACTTCGATCGATCGAACCATCTTCGATCGATCCAAGTTAAGGTTCGATCGATCGAACTTCCTCCAGCGAGAAAAAGTTAAAGTCCAGCTCATTTATTCCGTCCTTCACCCAATCATTGGAGAATATGCCTTGCACGACCACAGCTCATCATAGGGTGTATTTGACCTACCTTGGAGAGGAGTCTAGAGTCTCTTGTCACACATTGAAAATCATCTTGGAGGCTATTCTTGGAGAGGAAGAAGGGAGGAAGCTAGAGCAACCATCTTCACCAACAAGGAGCAGCCATGGAGTTAGCCCTTGAGGGTTGGATCATCACTACCATGAGTGGCTAGACATCTTCTTGGGGCTAGAGTTAGCCCCAAGCATGCTTTCTATACTCTAATCTTGTGTATTATTGAGGGATTAGTGTTGTATGATACATCTTGATATTCATGTATATATAAATCTTGATTATTTCATGGTTTGTATGGTTTAATGCTTCCAATTGACTAATCTATGCTACCCATATGTCTATGTATGCTAAAGTAGGATATTCATGTGCTTATCTCTAGATTTAGTGTTTTTGATACATGTCTATGTGTATTGATGCTATAGATCTAGAGATTATCAAGATGATATGCTTAATGAATGCTATTTTGGTTCATTTGATGGTTTATGCCTATTCTTGATGGTTTGTGCCTATCCCGTAGTCTAGATAGCTTTATTTTCATGCTAGTAGTGTAAATTTAGTGTAGTGGTAGTATAATGTTAGATGGGAGGACAATCTACTCTTGATGTTTGATGTTCCATGCTTGTGAGTCCAAATGCCATATTCCTCTAATATTGTGTTGTATGTGGATTGTGAGCTTAATGAAGGATTAATGACTTGTTTTGATCTATTGTGATATCCCCATGTTGTCTAGACAATATATGCTCCATTGCTTAGATATATTGTGCTCTTCACATGATGTTTAGACAATACGTGCTTGATTTGTCATCCTTGCCAATTGAATCAACCTAATGCACACACACCCTTATCATATTGCAACACATCCATTACCCTCAATTGATCACTTATTAGTAGTATAGAAAAGTATTGCTTGGTGGTGATCTCTACACCCCAAGACCTCTCTCTCTCTTGTTTACCTCATATTATTTTATTTAGTTAAATTCAATTTAGCTTAATCAACCAACCAACCAATTGTGTGATCACTCGACCTACTAACCCTAATTACCATAGTTCACAATTCGATACACCATCAAATCCCTTGGGACGATCCCTACTAGCCCTATCTATATTTTATATAGAGAAAGGTAGTAGTGGTTTTTTATAAATGTAAAACTTGGCCACTTCCTAAACACACACAACTCTCAAGCTTTGTTGGTTGTGGCGACTCTATCAAGGAAACCAACAACAAGTTTTTGGCGCCGTTGCCGGGGATTTTAAATTGGCCACGTCGAATTGTGAAATTCAATTAGGATTAGTACTCTTTTGATCGTGTCTTTACTTTCTTTTTATTTTCTGTTTTTGATTACTTATTAAGTTTGTTCTTCATTAACAAGGTGCATTGAGCAAGGAGCTAGCAAAGAACTTCCAAGCTAAGGAGCAAAGCAAAGCAAAGGAAAAATGCTTAAAATGAAGAGTTGCTAAAAATTTTTTTTGCTAAGCTAAGCTTTTAAATTTGGAGTTGAAGTGCTAAAGGACTATTGTGAGACCTTCTTACTCAATCTCCTTAGTTAAATCGGGGGCCCACGTGGAGGCATTTATTTGACATACATTGCATTTGAAAATTGTGGTTGTGAAGTTTAATTGCATTGTTGAGAAAGTTGCTTATTCGTGTTGCATTGTGCATGCATGGTCGTCATTCATTGAGACCTACTCTTGTCCCTCTTGATTTGCATTTAGAATCCACTATTAGGAATCCAAGGGGAAGAGGAAGTTCACATAGAACCAATCTACCAATGGATGCTCTCAATGATGATCATGTTGAAGACCTTGGTCACATAGACCAACAAGGCATCCTTCACCCTAATGTGCAAAATGATAATATGCAAGTTCCATTAGGCATGCCTAGGCCATACATTCATCAACCTCCTCAACAACAAGGCCAAATTCCAATGGGAATTCCAAGGCCAATGTATGCACCACAACCCCCCATCATTAATCAAGCTCAATATAACCAAGGTGTCCATGTTGCACCTCAAGTTGCTAATCCACCACTCGCATTGAGAGATCACTATGTGCCTAATGAGTATAATGCACCCACATGCATTCAATTGCCACCATTTAGAGCACACCATTATGAGATTAAAGCAAAAACTATCCAAATGCTACCTAACTTTCATGGACTTCCTACTGAAGAACCTTACAAGCATTTGGATGAGTTTCTTGAAGTTTGTTCTACCGTTCGATACACGGACATGCCGGAAGAAGTTTTAAGGCTGAAACTTTTTCCATTCACCCTTAAAGATAAGGCGAAGTATTGGTTCAACAACCTTAGGCCTTTTTCTATAACTTCTTGGGCAGAAATGCAACAAGAATTTTTGACAAAGTACTATCCGGTTTCGAAGACCAATGCTATGAGAACCGCCATTAGGGAATTCACACATGGGGAGGGAGAAACTTTCCACGAGGCATGGGAACGCTTCAATGAATTGCTTAGGAAGTGTCCTCACCATGACATGCCTAAATGGCAATTGGTCCAATTCTTCTTTGAAAGTTTATCGGACAATTATAAAGGCATGGTTGATGCTTCAATGGGAGGTTCTTATATAGACCGGCAAGAGGAAGACGTGTGGCGTCTTTATGAGAGCATGAGTGAAAACTCTTTGCATAGAACATTGTCATCTAGGAATGGTAAAAATTCTCAAGGTAGGAAGAGTGTTGGCTTACATCAAGTTGACCACTCAAATGATATAACCGCCGAGATAAAGTCTTTATCTCAAAAGTTTGATCAATTGATCAATCAAAACTTGGCGAATCAAGTGTCTTCCTTTCCTAATCATTCTCCTAGAGCTCAAAATGAATCATGTATGACTTGTTCTAGTGTTCTTCATTCTACTTCTAATTGTCCTCATGGACAAATTCAAAATGAACCCATTGAGCAAGTTAATGCAACATTTGTAAACCAAGGGAACAATCCTTATGGTAACCATTACAATCCCGGTTGGAGGAATCATCCTAATTTTTCTTGGAAAAACCAAGGGGAGGGCTCAAACTCTTCCCAAGGCTGTTTTCAAGGGAAATACATTCCACCTCCACTTCAAAACCAAGGATCCCAAGGTTCAAGACCATATAACTCACAAGGAAATCAATTTGCTAATTCTCATTTTCCTAACCAATCATATTCTCAAGGAAATTCTAGAGGTTCCGCTTTTGAGGAAAAGGTTTTAAATGCTTTGGGCACTCTAGAAGCAAATACTCAATTGTTGCATTCTCATTCTCAATCAATTGCCAAGCTAGAAACCCAAGTAGGGCAAATAGCTGAAACACTTAATGCTAGAGAGAAGGGAAAGATGCACGTGAATGCCCCAATCAA